ATGCTTTAAGAGTCCTTGGGCTTTTGGTTTCATTTAAATAATCAAATCATTTGACAATTTCTGGCTTTAGTAGACATGCTTAAAGACCTACAAGGTTTTTAGGTTCACCAGTTAATGGAGCCTGGAGATGAAACAATACCTGGAGAAGTTCGGAAAATTCCTGCCTGTGATGTAAAAAGACAGACTTAACCAACACACCTGATGTTTGCATGTCAACCTGTATATCCTGTAGACAAAACCACTACCTGATATACAGTATGTGTTATGTTTTTTACCAATGCCACCATGACTGCAGTGTCGAAAATTAACTGAACTGAACTGAACACTGACAGTGAAAGCAAAGATGCTTGGGTAATGGGCTGATCAATCACTACTCTGACAGACTAAATTAGCCCATGTAAATGTGAAAGTATTTCAGTCTCACAGCATTAGTTTAAAATGGGTTATAACAGCTCTGGTAAGGAGACATTAAGGCTATTATCTGACCTTCGGAGTGTAAATGGGAAAGGGTTGGGCCTGGCTTGCAACACACAACATGCCACAAAGAACACTCCAGCCTTCTGAAGCTGTATTGCAATGTTCCATTGGATTCATCCAAACATCTGAAGCACATTTTTGACTCATTCTGCTTGTATGTAACTGGCAGAGAGAATGCGTGTTGTGCACTTGTCTATATAGGGGCATATCACTCTCTTGATAATGTGCCCTTAAAATAAAAGTGGAATATCTGGTCTGACTTCAGACCAGTTTTTTTGGTCAATCGTGCAATTGCTTTATTTTGCCTCAAGATAGCAATGCGCCAACAATGAATCTGATGACACTTAATTTTAAGACTAACACACCCATGGGCTGTCAGATGGGCGCAAGTGTATTTGCCATCTAAACAATATGAGTGCTGGATGGGAAAATGACACTGTGTCAGTCTGAAACTACAAAAGACACTTGTCTTGTGCTTTATGTTATTTTTGGGTTTACAACTGAGATGCCACCAAGGGATGGGTATCGTTAAGATTTTAAAGGTACTACTACTCTTACCAATACGGCTTATTGATCCAGTACGTTAACTTTAATTTTGTTCCAGATGATCCTGAAACCAGAAAAGGTTCCAAACAAGTTTATTTTGTCCAGAATAGCAGGAAGACTAAATTATGGTCTGGAAATAAACAGTTAAATGTTGTCTGCGTATAGTTACATCTTATCAGGTGTGTCTGGGATATAGAAGCCATGTGTGAATTGACTCTGAAAGAGACTCAATAGCCAGTGTGAACAAGAGAGGACAGCCCTCTTTTGTGGCCCTCAGCAGGCTGAAGTGGGAAGACAAGATTTCATTAGTCAATACTCGGGCCCTGCAATTTTGATACAGAAGTTTTATCTCCTAAATCAAATTCATCCAGCACTACAAACAGATAGGATCATTCTACATGGTCAAACACCTGTCCAACATCAAGAGAGACAACAACGAGATCACTCACGCTGGACTTAGAATGGTACATTATATTGAACCAACTTCGAAGTTTAAAGGAGTTTCTACCAGGGAAAAATCTGGTCTGATCTGGATGAACCAGTGTCCCCATATACAAGTTTGCTTTAGCCAGTATATTCTGGTCCACATTAAGAAGAGAGATGGGTCTATAGCCTCCAACCTCATCGCCATCCCTGCCCTTTTCAGAATAAGTGTTATTACAGCCCTGTTAAGCGTTTGTATATTTTTTTAGGTCCCCAGAGAACATATTAATCATATAAGGTGTGAGTGTGTCAACAAATATTTGTACAGCTCACAAGGGAGCTGAGTTTTGTTTCTTTTACCTCCTCAGGGGTGAGGTCTTTGTTTAGAAAGGTGTAATGCTGTGAAAGAAGGGATATTATGCTTATGATAATATGCTTTGAAAGCTTTCCATGTTGTGGGATCCTGCATTTGTTTTTGAAGAATAAAGCTTTTCACAGAATTCTTTAAAATGCTTGTTGGTGTCTTTCAGACAATCACTATGTTTGGACTTCACTTTAAGGATTACTCAGTCATTTTCCAATTTCCGCAGTTGTCTGAAAGGCAGTGTTTGTGGTTTCACCCCAAACTCAAAGTGCTTCTGCTTCAAGAAAAGAAGTGATTCTGAGACAATCTGATTATACTGATGCATCACCTGCAAATTTCTTTATCTAACCAATTTATTTGTTTTTCTAACTCTTGAAGCCTAGGCTTTATTTAAGTTTTATTTCTGCACTCTAATTAGGAGATTATACAACCCCTCAGATATGCTGCTTGAGTCTCCCAGAGTAGACATGGGAAGGTCTCTAGGGTGTTGTTAGTATCAAAAAATATTTTTATTTGCATGTAGAAATATTCAGAAAATTTGGGGTCATCAATGAATTAAGGACCTTTTCTCCATTTCCTGGGATTTTCATGCACAACAGTCTCTAGAGTTTATTCAGAATGGTGTGAAAAACAAAAATCATCTAGAGTGTGGCAGCTCTGCTGACACAAACACCTTGTTGATGAGAGAGGTCAGAGGAGAATGGCCAGACTATTTCCGGTTTATAGAAAGGCTACAGTAACTGAGATAACTACTCTTTACAACTGCGAAAAGAAAGAAAAGCATCTTGCCCAACATGTTGAATCTTTAGTCGGATGGGCTACAACAGTACAAGTCGGTACCACCCCGGGTTCTACTCCTGCCAGCCAATAACAGAAATCTGCTGCGGTGGGCAAGTTTAAGACTGCATAAACATAGTCTGTCTGATGAATCTGGATTTCTGCTGAGGCAGCAGATGGTTGGGTCAGAATTTGGCATCAACAGCCTGAATCCATGGACCCAACCTGTCTTGTGTCAACAGCCCAGGCTGGTGGTGCTGTAATGGTGTGGGGAATGTTTTCTTGGCACTTTGGGCCCCTTTACACCAATCTATCATGGTTTGAAAGCCACAGTCTGTCTAAGTATTGTTGCTGACTATGTCCATCTTATGGCCAAAATTTACCATATTCTAATGAATACTTTCAGCATCATAAAGCACCAGGTCACAAGGCAAAAGTCGGTTGTCTCAAACTTGTTTCATGAACATGACAGGGAGTTAACTATACTTAAGTGGCCTCCCAAGTCACCAGATCTGAATCTAACAGAAAACCTTTGGGATGTGGTAGAACAGGACATTTGTAGTCTGAATGTACAGCTGACAAATTTGCAGAAATGATGTGATGCAATCATGTCAAAGTGGAGCAGAATCTCAAAGGAAAGTTTCCAACATTTTGAGGAATCAAGGTCACAAAGACTCAAGGCTGTTTTGAGAGCAAAGAGAGGCTCTACCCAGTGTTTGGTGTTCCTAATAAAATGCTTAGTGAGTGTACACATGAAGTGACATTGAGAGAGTATTCAGACCTCTTCACCTTTTTCACATTTTGTTATGTTGCATCCTTCTGCTAAAATCGTTACAATGCATTTTTTCCATCATCAATCTACATAATGACAAAGTGGAAACAGAATTTTAGCATTTTTTACAAATCTATGAAAAGGACTCAGACTGGGCTGAAGGGTCACCTTCCAACAGGACAATGACCCTAATCACACATTCAAGACAACACAGGAGTGGCTTCAGACGGGCTCAGAGCACAGAGGTTCTTGGGCCAATTTAACCCCAATTAACCCCTCCTGACAATCAGAGGTGAAATCTGGTCCCGGACCTTGTTCGGGCCAGATTATCTGGTAATGTGAGGGGTTCACAGATCCAGTCTTAAATGCCCCGAACTGCTTGCAGACTCAATGGGGCCGCACCAAATTGGGATGATATGATTATGATTACATCAGTTGCGGAGCTGATGGTGTTGCCAAGCAACAGTAAACATTCTAGTCCTTGACAATAACGTTAGCTACCATACTACTGTTGACAGATATGAAAACTGACAGTTCAAATCTTACCTGCAGTTCTTGCTGAAGGAACCTGTGTTGACTGCTTCTCACCAACCATTTTTGTCATCTCATTCTGTGTTTTTTCTCACTGCAAAGTTTTACTAATGTTACAGCAAGTTGGGGAACCCTGGTGGCTCACCTGGTAGAGTGCGTACCATAAAGGCTTAGTCCTAACTGCAGCAGCCTGGGTTCAAGTCTGACCCGTGGCCCTTTGCTGCATGTCTTCCCCTCTCTCTCTCTCCCCAACTTTCCTGTCTCTCTCTAACTGCAACTATCAAAATAAAGGCAAAAAATAAATTCAAAAAAATGTTACAGCAAGTTGCCGCACCACAGTCTCCATTTTGTTTACATCTGCTTCCCCATGAGATGAGATCATGTGTGGTGGTGCATTGCTCCCTGATTGCTCCCTCTGGCAGGACAACCTTAATAATATCCTGTAGTGTGTGATGCACCATTATTTTCAAATCTTGTGGTGTGTGTATGCTTAAGATTAGAAAGAAGCTGTGAGGCTTCTCCTTATGTGCATGATGCAACCCGATTTCAAAATCAGTGAGGGTTTTAAAACTCTTGAAGCTCCAACCAATTAAGGAGGAAAGGGTCTGAATACTTATATCAATGTGACATTTCAGTTTTTCCTTATTATTAAATTTGCAAAAATTTCTAAAATTTTGTTTTCCAACGGTCATTATGGGGAACTGAGTGCAGATCGATGAGGGGAAAAAAGGAATTTAAATGATTTTAGTATAAGGAGTCAACATAAAAAAAATGTGAAAATAATAAAGGGGTCTGTATACTTTCTGAATGCTCTGTATCAGTGAGGCAGTGAAATACTGCTACCACACAACCAACAGTTAAAGAAAATGCTGGCTGATACACAGTGCTGCAACAAAAACAACAAAACAGCCAATACCATAAAACACTTAATAACCGAGTGGTGGAGGACTGACTGGTTGGGAGCAAAGAGAGAAAACAGCATCACCCACTTCCTGTTCACAGCAGCAAGAAATAAACTGAAAAACAGCTTAATACAAATTAGATTCATTTGCTCGGGAATAAACTGTTTCACAGTTCAAGAGGAAGAAAAATGTTGTGAGTGTGACTCACCTCGGTCTTCTAAATATCAGGCCGTATTGCTGGCAGGCCAGGCCTACAGTGGGGGTGTAAATGATGGGCATGAACCTTTCGATGTCTGACAATAGCACCCGATAGAAAAGCTTCTCGCTGCGATCCTGGAGCCCCATCAGGAACACATATCTGGGAACGACAGGGAGGAGCAGGTAGGAAAACACTGCATGTTAATCTTTAACATCTTGAGGACTCATACCTGCTGAATTGAGGAAGGCGTTATTGAAGACAGATGTGAAATCCTGTGTGTTTGTGAGTGAAATGTAGCAGAGAGATTGGAAGAACTGGGAGGAAAAGGTTAAGATCTTAGTATGAGAGTATACTATACCAGACTGTAAAAAGAAAATGATATTTTTCCCTATGATAATTGGAAAAATCAGGCCCTTAGATAGCCTACACAAGCCTTTTGTTCTGACTGTAGATTGACCATGAACTGAAGGTTTGCATATGACCCAAATTAAGAAGCGCGCGCCAGAAAGGGCTCTATTCCTAATCAGAGAAGTTTCCATAAAGCCAAGAGCACAAGGTGCCTCTTGTTGAGGGGCTGAAAAGCATGAACGCCCTCTCTGCTACAGGTTAGGCCACAGCAGCTGCACAATACACGGTGGTGACAGCCACTCTTGAAGAAAAGCGTTTTCATATTGGTGAACGTAAGTAGCTTCTGCCACATGTAATTTATTAAATGAAAGGTTTGTGTATGCCGTACAATACAGAGTTCAAATGAATTTTTCCACTGAGTGATTATTACCCATTTAGCTGAAAGTATAGTAGACTATATACACACACACACACATATATACATACATACAAATATATATATATATATATATCTTTGTATGTATATATGTGTGTGTGTGTGTATATATATATATATATATATATATATATATATATATATATATATATATATATATATATATATATACACACACACACACACACACACACACACACACATGTTTTGGAGATAGATCATGTGACTACATATATCCTATCCTATTGCTTCTGCTGAGGAAATCCATGAGTTGTGGGTTGAAAGCTATGAAAAAACCTGCAAGTTGATCTTTGTTTTTGTTTTTTTGTTTTCATTTTAAATTCAGTTCATTAGTTTCATGTGAAACACAACATTTTAGTAGAAGAAGCCACAGATAGAGGAGAAATATTCCCTGCTTGGTTGTATGACCACAGCACCGTGATGTTGGCCTGTTAGACTGTCACACCAGAGACCAGGATCACATCCACAGTCCCATCTGTGGTTTGGTTTAGGCTACAAAAGAACTCTGGTTAAGGTTAAAGAAAGATTGTAATTTTGGTTAAATGTAAATGGACACATTGTGTCTGAAGTCACTGTGAACTTTCCGATATTAAAGCAGACCGCAATGTTGTGGGTGCTTGAGCATGACCATGAAAAAGTAGGAAACATGTTGTCTGTGAACATTTTACTGATATGTTCAGTATCAACATAGTTGCAACTTGCCAAATGAAAATCATCAGGCCTACAGTCTTGTGGTACAGTACAAATCATTAAACACTACAGGGGAAAAAGGGAGCAGATTAGGGCTAAAACTCACAGGAACATTTAACAATTTATCAATTAGTCAAGCATGTATTTTGATAATTAATTGTTTAAGTGCTTTATTAAGCAAATATATCAAACCTTTGCTAGTGCTGCATCTCAGATGTAAGAATTTGCTGCTTTTATTTTGAATATTTTTACGTTTTAGGAAAGAGTGATTGACATTTTTTATTTTATGACCATTTATGGAACAAATATTATAATATAATAATATAATTTGAGAAAATTATTGGCAGTTTAGTCAGTAATAAAAAATAATCATTAGTTGCATCCCTGGGTGAAATATCTTTTATAGCTTTTATCCTTTTCTCTCACTCTTCTCAGCCAATAGACACTAAATGAGAAATTCGATATTACAAAGCAGGTTGAAATTGATCTTCATGTGTAAAATAGTTGACGTGCCCCTTTAAGAACAGAAAAGTAAGGACAGACATTACACAGACAAAGTTTGAATTCTGTTAGCAGCTGAATTGAGCATGAGAATAAAATAATTCTTCTCAGCTCAAACAGGTTGCAACATTTTGATGATTTCACTCATCGTTGTCAATCAGTTGCTCTGACTCATCGAACAAAACTGTAATTAAATCCCCGCACCAAATACTAGCACACAGTATCACGGCAGTGTGCTATTGTTTGATTTTATGCTGGCACACTTTAAGGAAGGTTTCCGTCTCCATTCTTAACCTTACAAGGCGTGAACACTTCCCACACCCAGGAAACAGGAATATTTACAGTACACACTGCTTTATAAAGCAGTATCCATGCTGACTTACTGAGTGCAGTGCTTCCTTTAAAGTCAACCTACTGAGGCAGCCAGGACACAATCTGTCTCTATCTTAATCTATTTTAGCATGAGTGATCAACCGGCTCTGCTCTGTCAGGCTCATTTTAGGCCTGATCCTGCTTTCTAACAACCTCATTGGCTACGAGGTTTCCCCTTAGCCGAAGCATTTTATATACTGCAGTGTTTTCATTGGCAAAGCTTTTGAACATCCATTTCCTTCTGTTGAGGACACAGTCGTAGTAGGTCCTCGACTCACTCCATCATCTCAGATCATAAATGCAGCGGCGTTCCGTAATTTGTCACAATAATTGAAAACCACGACAAATTCCACTGAAAGAAAAAAAAAACATGGGAGTCTAGATAACTGATTAAAATAGAAGGGGAAGTAGTGAAAGTTTCAAGTTATGGTCATAAAAAATAAATGACGGCATCCAGCAATAAATACCAAAAAAGGGTTGAGAGTCGGGGAACAGACTGTGTGTACAACACAGCAGGTTTTAGCAACAGCAGCTCTTAATCCAAAACCCAAAGCTGGAACGCACCCCAGCCCGAGACAGATTGTCAGTGACATTGATAGGGCATGGGAATGGCAATGACAAGCTCATAATGATTGTTTGTAGATGTTGATGCTGTCATGTTGCTATGGTGGAAAACGAGGCGGCTGTCAGGAAGCTGCCTAGTTCCTGTTGACCCTAAATCTTGACTCACAGGCAGCTCACTCATCCTTGACATTAGGAGCGACAGCTGATGGAACGGATGACTGAGAAACAGAGACTGGAATAAGAGGCGGCTTCACAGACAGATAATATTAAGCCCCGGGCATCTAATTCAAAACAGTAAAAAAGGCTGTGACTTCAATATGAGGCCTGATCTTGTTTCAAAGAGCTGAAATGTTTGCATGTGGTAGTTTCAATACATAATGCTAACAGCTACAACTCCAGAGTTTCTAATGAAGCATGCAAAAACTGAACTGAAGTTTTCATGTGGTCGCTGTTGAGGTTATAAAAACACGCAGATGAAGGAGCACAGGGAGAAGATGGAGAAATGAGGGAGAAAAGGAGAAGAGAACAGTGTGGAGATTTGTTCGGTAAAATATATGGTGTTAAGAGATGGATGTAGATCTCCGAGGGCTGATCGCTAATCTGCCTCTCGGGTTTTGAAGGCTTCCAGATGTTAGATGTCTCGGTGTGCACAGAGGCAGGGGAATCCTCGGGGGGGATCAACTGAAATTCAACTCTGCTGATTTGGACCAGTAGAATATGAAGGTATTAAGTCATAGCAGCTACACCGTGAGGAGATTTCTCTCTGTGTTTGTCTTACCTGTCCAAGTCGTCTCTCTTCATGTCGTAGTTTTTGAGCACTCGCAGCAGCTGGACGTCCTGGCTGATGAAGCAGGGAGGCAGCAGGCCATGGATCCCCAGCTGCAGACGCTCCTCCAGGGAGAACGCCATGCCCTACGAACACATACACACACAAACCACATCCATTATCCTCCACCATCATAACATGGGCAGGGACATCCCGAGAGGATGAATCACACTGGGTGATACATGTCTGGCTGAAGGGCACATCAACACTATGCTGCTACTCTGCTGCTGTGTCTATCCTGCAGATACCACAATGCACTCAAGCACTTAATAACTTTTAATATTAGTATCTATTGGGAATGTTTTTTTCTATGTGTATTTTTATTTTCATTGGGCTGTTATTGCAGAGATGCCACTTGAAGTTTCATTATACCTTGTATAATGAAAATAAAGACTATTCATTCATTCATCCAACAGATGGTTTCAGCAGCAGTTAGACTTTGTGCATGTTGCCAGCCCAGTGCGTTTCTCCAGCTGATCTCAATCTAAGCCAGTGACCTTCAATAAATGAAGGCACATACTCGGTTTACTAACCTCTAGATAGCAGACTGACAGACTGATAAACAACACAAGACCGTGGAGTCTTTGCAGGTAAATCGAGAGTGACTTGGGACCAGTCGTTCCATGATGATAAATTATTTCTTGTTTGACTTGTTTTGTCTTGATATACTTAATGTCTACTTGAATATTTCTGTGTTATACTACTTTATAGCTTTACTTTCCCACATTTCACCTCATAGCTACTAATTACCTTGCGTATTCTGCACACTATTTTTCATACAAAACACATGCTCAGCTTCTACATGATGATTCATTGTTCAGTGTTGTTTTGGAATTGAGCCCTTAAACTTTTAATTTCTTACAGAGTAAAAAAAATAAAAAAATCAGCCAGTATCACAAGAATATTTCAACTTTCTTAAAAACAAATTTTCATCTGCAACCTTTTTAAATAAATTGACTTAAATCAAAAACAGGTTCACATGTTCTCACTGCACTGCAAAGTTCTTAAGGACTCAATTATAGACAGAAACAGCCTTAAAGGATCTGAATACTTCTACTACCTCTGTTCACAAAAGCACATTCTCCTCAACAACACAATAGAGTACATTGTGTGGTGTAAAGTACATAAAGTAAGGGGTGTCTTGAATCTAAGTATTGAATCTTCAGTTTGGACAGTCCAAGAAAAGAGGTATGAAATTTTAACCTGGCCTGTCCATGGTGTCTGTTCTGTAAATACAGTGAACCATAATAAAACAAAAAAGCATCACAATATAAAATATCAGATAATTTTGTATTACTTTTTCATTATAAGATATTTTATTCCCTTTTGTAAAACAATCTTGTTGCACTCTTGGTGTTTACCTCCCCGGCTCAGCTACGCTCTGAAAACTCTGAACTTTGAACAAATGAATATCGAGGAAGATATTCACCAGTCCTTTCTCTTCAAACATTCCTGAGTGATGAGAGAGAGAGACGGCGGGTCAAATGTGTCCTCTGTTCTGTCAGGGTGTTTGCTCTCAGAGGGGGCTTCCTGTCAGCCACCCTGTGTTCAGAGGGGCTGCCGTTACCTCACACGCTGGCGTGATGTCTGCTTTCACCACTGCACATCCTCAATAACACACACAGACTTCACGTTGACCTTTACTTTTGGCTTGCATCTTGCTCACCCCTGACCTCTGAATGGGAAAATTGAAAAAACACGCACACGGGTTTAGTGTCAAGGTTTTAACCCTCAGGAGTCTGACCTCTGACCTGTGCGGTTATTCCGAAGGAAGGTGGCGTGTGTTCATGTGATGTCAAAAAGTAAGAGACTGAGGTACTTCAGATACAGATACAGCTTATCTGCATTTAAAAAGTTAAAATAAACTGTTCCCAAAGCACCACGTACAAGCTCTGAGTCCATATTTTAAATGGGAACAGCATTCTCCACTATTCTCTGCCAGTGAGGCATGATGTGGTGGGCATTGGGCATTTTTAATCCTTCCAACTATAAAAGAGCAGCGACCCGGTGAAACCTCAGCCTCAACATGCCAGCTACTGTTGCTGACTGCTGAGACAGAAGCAAAGCTGCGCTGCAAACGTCTCTGTTTTGGATCACATCCACGGATGCTTGGCCCTGCCGCCGCAATTTACAGCCTCTCCAAGCCACCAGCACTTTCTGTGTATCTGGCTGTGTTAAAACGCTTCTGAGGTTGTAAAAAAAAAAAAAAAAAATGAAAAATGTATCACACGAGACGCGCTGTTAGAAGGAAGGAGAAAAGCACTCGGCACAGAATAAGGCATTTAGAATAAAATGTGGCTTTTTTTGACGTCAGACGAACCATCGGTGCTGACCACTGACACACTTCCAAAGCTCATTAGACTTACATAATGATGAATTTTAAAAAAGCAGACAGCTTACAAATGGTTGATTTTTAGATTTAATCACAATTACTGTATTCTTGAGTGTACGAGAATAAAACAAGCAAAAACATGCCACTTCCTCTCTGGGAGAACATCTGAAACAAATGCTTATTGTCTACGATCTATCAGGAGTGTGTGTTATTAAATAGGTTAACACAGAATAGATAAATCCTTACAAACAATGTTTAGTTCACAGCACTAAATTATCTAAGCGCGACTGCAAAAAAGGACATCGGTTATTTCAGACACTAAAGTACGAGTCCCGATCCGTCTGCCGTTCGCCGAGGCTCGACACAGTCTGTACTTAACGGGCCTCAAATAGGCAGAAGCAGCTCTGAATTACAACCTTCCCCAATTATCAAAAAAGATTTTCTATTTTTCAGAGAGCCAGCTGTTCACTTCAGACTCCATGTGTGTCTGGGACGCACCACTGCTCTGCTGTCTGCCACTGCTGACCATGAGGAATATATGGAGCAAAGTCTTAAAATACATGAGGCAAACTGAGCTTAATATGAGGCTATAAAATGAGATTCATTCCTCACACAGGCTCAGTCTGCTCTTTCATTAGCTGAGATACACTCAGAGTGGCACTTTGTAGCGCCCTGACGTTCTCTTGCGCTCGCTCTGTGAGAGTTCCTGATACAGCTCACACACGAACCCTGAAGAAAAACACACACAATCACACACACGTATACGCCCACAAGAACAAGCGCACATGAGCCTTTAATTAGCTGAAACGCACTTTGTTCGTACTGGCTTACACTTCCGTTTGAGACAAACAGCCCTCTTTGCACCAGTGGCACAGAATAACTGAGCAGAGCTGCACAGGCATACAGATCCACAATCAGCACACACAAACAATTGTGCTTACATTTTACTTTTCTAATGTTTTCACTGTCTCAAACTTTTCAAAATTAATTTTAACTCCTCACTTCCTTTCAGTTTTGACTCCTAGGGGGACCCGTAATCCTCACTTAGCAGTATAAAAAAAGGACAACAGTACAATTAAATAGACTATGATCATCATAGGGTATGGTAAAAGCTGAGGTATAATACCACAGTATATGTCTAAGAAAAGTTTACATCCTCCTCAAGTAATCATTGATTTAAAGCACCACCCAGTGAGGATGCTAGGTGACCCAAATTGAACACACCCAACATGACGCATGACCAACAGACAGACTAAAATGTTCATGGTGGATCCTCCAGCAGAGACTTCCCATCCCTGTCTCAGCCCACAACCCCTGAGAATGACCCAGTAAAGACACTGAACCTACAGCAGGTCGTGGAGGACTTCCCGGTGCACAAGACTCACAGTACACAGTGTGCTAAAACTGTGCAGGCTCTCTTTTTGTTTTAATGTGTGTGTTTGTGGGCTGCACGCTGCGGGCTTCGTACTGTTAACTGTCTGCCTTAGTGATGTTTAGTTCCGCTGTTGGTTTCTATAAGAAATGTCGAGCTATTTGATTTATTTTTATTTATAACTTCATAGCGCCTGTTGCACCTTCTGCTGTGTCAGCCTTTTTATTTATTGAGTTTTGTCCTCTTCTCTGGTCAATTTTACTAAAGCCGCACAGAGGGAGGTTGCTGTACATTTATAACTTATAATCAGTTTTATAAAGTATGCAAACATTTCTACTAGGGCTGGGTTGAAAGAAAATTGTTTCTCTGATTCAAATCAATCTCCATTTGAGTAATCAAATACTGCTTCATAAAATCCAGAGATCAATGTTTTAATATGTCTTTCACAGTCGCCCATGGATGTGCGACGCTGTAACCCTGTTAGTTCTGCATGACCAGTCTTGTGCAACAACATCTAGTCGCATGAGAGACAAAAACATGGCAAGTGAGACTCAACTCTAAAGGCAGATATGCGGTTGCATTTCAGATTTAAAAACTATGAAGACAGCGAAGAGCTGGACAAGTCGCTAGAAGACGAAGGTGTCGGTATGCACTGTAGCCAGTGCACTGGGGTACGTTAGCAACGCACATTACTAAGCTACACATTATTTCTTGAGATGTGTGTCTAAACTGTTGGTCATGTTAAATTAAAAAGTGCATTAATGTAACTGTTTTGGGGTCCTTTCATCAAGTAAACATCAATATTTCTAATGATGTACCAGGCTGGAGCCACAATTTACTTTAGCTTTAGTTCTGTCACATTTCTGAACCCAAATGCAGAAAACAAAAAAGGGGGTTGGTGTGAAGAAAGGTCTTTTAATAACAAAAAGTGACTTACAAACTAGTGAAGGCAAAACACGAGAACAAAAACCTGAAGCACTAAGAGACATGAGGGAAACTCAACAGGGCAAAGCACAGAGCACAACTGACCAAGACAAGTGGCAGCACAGAGGCTAAATACACACGAGCAGAGCAGGTAACGAGACACAGGTGTAACATAATAGGCCAGGGCAGACAATCACAGAGGTGAGAAAACGAGACAAAGACAGGAAGTAAAGGAACAGTGGGCCACACAAGGTAAGTGATTTCAAAATAAAACAGGAAATAAACCAAAGTCTAAATATAGAGTCAGCTTTCCTTTCCAAATTCTTCAAAATCATCCCTCATAAGGAGATAAAGTAGGGACTATGGCTGGGGAGTGTTTTTTTCCCCAGTTTTTATTTTATTTTATTGTATTCACATATGTTGCTATAACAAAGGGAATAAATTGAAGCCAATTCAGT